TTATTTTATTCATTGAATTCAATTGATTCTCACAGGTGGTGCCAATTGTACGAATATAAAAAAATACTGTATTTGATGATAAAGAAATCCAACGAAGAAGATGATCTGCACCACTACCCGATCGCTATCTGTAAGATAAAACAACCCCAGCCATAATTGGGGGCCCTCCGGCGTCCAAGTCAGTCCTCTAATATTATCAAAATATTTAATAGACTAATTCATAGAAAGAAATTGCATACCTTAACCCATAAGGGTGTTGGGTGTTGCCTATTTATAATATCTAGTGACTTACTTCTCAAGTAATTTGATTGTTCAAGAAGTCCTATCCCAAACAATCTTCGGTTGTTCAGGACTTCTATATCGATAAGATTTCATATCCTAATAAGTTTACATAAAACACTAATGCAGTGTTTGATAAGAATATGATAACTGTCATATACATAATAATCCATAATCATGTCACGTGGCAATGGCTGAACTCACATAATCCTTGTGGTTATTTTTATTCCCTCTCATTAATTGATAATCAACTTTGTCTAATATAGCCACTTTAGTTTGACTTTGGGTAAGTTGAGAATTGAATAATTAAATTAAAGTGGAAACATGATTCTATTCAAAACCATCATGATATTAATTTGATTTCATATATAATAATGCTATATTTATTTCATATTAATGAATCACACAAATAATATGTATATAGTAAAGTATATATCAGACTAGTGATGTATATCTAAAACCATAATACTAGTATAGTAGTCAAATCAATAAAAAAATAAAAATAAAAACAAAAATAAAAATAAAAAAAATACTAGTATAGTAGTTCGACTCTAAATTATACTCTTATGCATTATATATAAACTAGCATAATATCTGTGCCAGGTACGGTTACAGATAAATAATTAAAACTTAATATTTTAAATTAAATAATAACATAAAATTTGTCTGAAATATATATATATATATATAAAATAATTTATAATCAATTAAACTTTAATTATTTTCATCAGAATTACACTATAATTAATTCTAAATTAAATAAATAAAATCTCTTCAAACCCATCTCTTAAGATCATTGTCCAAAATCAATTTTTCAATTTTAAAAAATAATAAATATTCATGTGTTTCACATAATTTTCGAATTAAACAAACAATAAATAAAATCTTTTCAAACCCATCTTCTAATCACCGCTGGAAAATTGACTTTTAGCGGCGTTTTAAAAACGCCGCTATAGGTACTGAAAACGTCGCTAATTCTTTTTGTGACGTTTAGTACCAAACGCCGAAGATGCGGCCGTCGCTATAGCTTTATGGCGTTTGGAAAACGTTGGTATATTAGTATAAACGCCGCCAAATGTCCTACCCTAACTGTACTATGATGTCACTATGACATTTAGCGACGTTTTTAAAACGCCGTCAAAGACATTTGTACATTTTAAAAATCTAACCGTTGGGATAGGGATATAGTGACGTTCAAAAAACGCCGTCATAGCCTTTTTTTTTTTTTGAAGTTGTGCTAATTTTATATGGTTGAAAAAAATACCTGTCATAAACAATTATTAAGAACTAATAATTGATGTTTATTAAAATAATAAATAAACTAAGTTTGAAAACAAAATTAAAAATAAAAAACAATGCAATAAGATGTGATACATGTACAATTACAGAATATATCTAGACACAAAATATATTAGAAATCCGTGAGGATTTATTTACAAAGTCAGGCTTGAAAAACTCATGCAGAAAGCAAAAAAGACATCCATACTCCTAATGACACAATACTGATAGTAACAAAAGCTTGGCCTAGTTCATAAACAAAATTTTCTTTCTGAACGAGGCAAACTTTGCCAATTTGTCCTCCTGCAAAAAGTCACAGCCAAGACCAAATTAGAAAGGTTAATATCAGTACAATAGATTGACACATTAGATTAGAATGGAAAACATTAGATTAAATTTCATTCACTAATATCAGTACAAACCAACTTCATATATATACATATTTAAGTCCAAAAACCAACCAAACAAGACAAACAAGTAAAAAAAAATAATCAATTTAACAGAAACATATAACTCATTTAGGTGCTAACCAAAATTGAGTGGATGCATCAAGAATTCACATCCTGTTAACAAATACAAACCACTTTGATATATATATATATATACATACACATTTAAAGAGGTCCACGTACTCCATGAAATCTGAAATGTGCATCTCTGTTGAGTTGAGACAGCATGTACCGACTACATAGCGCTTACAATACAGTGCTTGAGAAATTTGCATGGATCTATTTGCTGCAGCAGCAAGTATGGCTTCATTTAACCGAAGATTGGAACTTTGGCATCACCGGTTTAACTTCTTGTGTGGTGATGCCAATGAGGTTGTTATGGCTGATTCAAGCTGTAGTTGCACTGCTTGGTTGATCCCTTAGCTTCCTCTTTGGATGACACTGCAGCGAGGAGATCTATTCCACCCGAATCCACCTTACTGAACACGAGGTTAGCAACAGCCCTGCCAATGGAATTCGTCTCTGATTCCATAGTTTTCGTGTCCTCCAACCTGAGAGAATAAAATTAGCCTTGTGAATATCTATTGTTGAAACAAGAACACCAACACCATTGTTCTCATGACAAAATGAAACTTCATCATTTGACATGTATAAAAATGCAAAACCCTACACGCACAGAAAGTTTGTGTGCACAAAATGCAGCAATTTGTACATTTTGTGAGACATTGTTGGATACTGTGTGCGTAAACTTTTATGCACATATCATTGCTGATGCAATTGTATTTAACATGAAGGAAAATAATAAATGATGCAGTAGAAAATTTTAAGAGAAGTCAAGATGACAACATGAGCTTCAGGAAGAGGAGAATAAAACAGGTTATCCTGATTGCCAAATTATGAAGCTGAATAGTAGATTGTTCAAACTTGGCTTAAAAACTTAATGAGTTTTAAAATGCATTTAACTGTGGGTTTTACATAACGAGCCAATATCGAACGAGCATTTAACGAGCCAAATACGACTCAAGCTCAAGTAGCTTGGCTCATTTAATAGTCCTAATTTTAAATCATATAAGGTGTGTGGGCATGATAAAAAGAATGCATGATAAGTTTTCATTGACTTATGTCCTTATAAGTTTGAACTGGACTAAAAGGTTGTCTTAAAACCTCCTTGACTATTTGTTTAACTTCTAAACAAGATCTAAATGGTGGAACTTGATTGCAAGGTGCATTCGAGCGGGGGTCATGGCCAGTCATGCAGGGTTGTCCAGAAAGGGATGAACAGCTACTAGAGTAAGCGCACTTGCATAAGGGTGAGAATGGAAGCTCAATTGAGTGGGCCTATGGGCACTCGAGTGAGCTGTCTGCCTAGGCTTGCACGGAAAGGCAGTTTTGATCTGATTTTGACGTCTGGACTCTAATCCTAGTAACCCTAGGCTTTTTTCAGGGCTAGCTCTATAAATACACATTTGTAACTCTATTATAGTAGTCTTGAGAGTGTGAGAAACCTATTTATTAGTGAGATCAATGGAGTGAGTTTGTGAAATTGAGTGTGAGAAACTCTTGTAATTCCTCTATTATGATCATAGTGAAATCACAACGAATCCATAGATGTAGCCCTTTCTTTAAATGAACCATGTAAATCTTTGTGTTGCTTTTGTGTGTTTAATCTAGTTTCTGTTACAGATTCATTGTTTGTGCGTGTGGTTCCTCAGGTCCTAAAGGTTTTGGAATTTATTCCAGAACAGCCTTCTGTCCAAAATCTTACTGATCATTTTGCATGGCAAATGAACAGATCCTACTGCTTTACACGGACAGTTTTGGTTTTTTTCAACAATCACAGATTAAAATTCTGAAATCTTCAAAATGCATCCCCATACAATAGTTCTAAGAAAAATGTCTTGTCATTTTAATTGTGTCAGCTGGAGAACACATCCTGAATTTCCTATACCGATTTCTAACCTACAATACATGCAACTAAAATATGAAGATACCTTGATAATTTCTGACAAGCTGGCCGGCATCCATATGATTCCAATTTTAAATGTTGAAGGAATTATTTCTTTTAAGACCTTCAAATATCCAAAGCAGGAGGCAGTTTCCAGTAATTCCATCAATTATAATCCTCCTGGAACCAAGGGGGAAAATGGGTGGGAATTGAGTTAGTCAACAGAAGAAAGGAGATAAACTGACAGTACCAAAACACAATTTCTATTCAAATGAATGGTGAAGAATAGCAAAAATGAAAAAATCATAGACAAGACACGGCACACTAGTGTCCTTGGGGTTGACCTCATTGAAGTGTATCCATTATTGCACTAAAAAAGATCCCTTCAGTGATTGCAGTTTCAAAACTAATCCTCCATTTGTTTCGACAGAAAACATTTTTCAATGGAAAACATTTTCCTATGTTAGACATGCTGAGATCTCATGCAAATCATAATGGAGTCTTTTCAGAATTACCTTGGGATTAATGATGAAGATTTTTCCCTTTGGGATTCCAACCTTAAGGTAGCTAAACTCATCAGTGTCTCTATTTCCAAAACCAGCATAGAACGGGTTGCAATCCGCAGGAAATAATGCCTTAATATCCTGGAAAATTGTAAACAAACATAATTAAGAACCTCTCTCTTCCAGACATATTAAGCTACCTGTGTAGTAGAGATGACAAGAACCAACCTCTAAGCAAGCAATTTTGAATTCATGAGGAGCTCTTCTGATGACTGCAAAATTTTGATAGGATAATCTCTCAGTGCACTAAATATATGCAAGATGTACATATTAATGGAAGCTATTTGTAGAGATTGCAAATCATTCCTATTCTTGTTTTTAGATAATGGATCAAGCAATATAATTTGCAAAAAACCCAAAATGTGTGGATTGTTATACTTGCATGAAAATAAAGTTGCGGAATTTACAAAAATCAGGCAATTCATGAATGAGTTTCAATAAACAGAGCACTACACCAAGTACCTTCTCGAAACAAGGAAGGAAACAGTCCGTCAGGGGAAATAACAACAGGCCCTTCTGGTAAAGCTTTTCCATCCTGCAAAAGAGAGAAATGGAATCTGTGAGGAAACAGACAGCAGATAGCACCAATCACTTTCGTGACATTGACTCTCCATCTCATCACCTGCTTAAGGTTGAATAGGAATTCTCTAGTGTGATAGGCCTGTGAGATAGCACGTGCGCTTAGAAAAAGTAAATGATACCCATTTTCCTGCAATACGAAAGAACAGAACTGGTTAATGAAAATTTTTAACAATCTTGTCAGTAGAGATGTTTTTCAGAATTGTGATTCCAATTACACAATCAATCAGTAAATAATAGAACAAAAGCACACAAGCAAAAACAAGACACAAGATATACGTGGTTTGGCAGAGTGTGCCTACATCTACTGCAGAAATGGAGAACAAATCCACTATACTCAATAAGGATTATAAGAAGACTCTCAACCTCTCAATGCATCACAGTTTTCTATAACACTCTCTATGAAACCTTACCCAAAAAAGGCCCCTTACAGTACTCTAGAGTGAATGGTAAATACAAGACACCTCACAACAAGGGAAGTAGTAAGAGTAATGAGATAAATAAAATGTACAGAAAATTGTCCATTCTCAAACTCCAAAGACAAAAGTAAGAAATGAGAAATAAAGCAATGCAAAGCCAATAGTGTAAATCACAATGACAAAATGGAGTAAATACATGATTGCATAGATTTTTGGCCCCAAAAAAAAAAGGTGGCTGCAAATGAAAATATTTATTTGAATTATGGAGTCATGAATTGCAATATGCATCATTACCTTAAACTGAAAAGAATAGATTAAAAATTACAAATAAAAAAACACATAAGAGGGATACATTCGAAGAGACTGCTAACATATCAAATCGCAAACAAAGGGACTAAAATGTAATCAAAACAACATTTAAACAATTGAGATATTTAAGCACAGCAAAAAGTAAAGTTGCGATAGAAATGATGATATGACACACAATCTGACCTCACATCCAACCCTAGGAGGAGATTCAAGACTGTAAACCCTAGGAGAAGAATCAGCGGAATGAAGATTTTGACAGAAATAGAGAGAACTTCGACATCGAAATCGAGATTGTAGACAGTAGTGCTCACCTTAGTAAACGATGCAGATGGTGGTGGTGGTGGTGGTGGAGCTTCGAAATCGAGAGAGAGAGAGAGAGAGAGAGAGAACTTCTAAATCGAAATCACCGAGCTGAAGAAGGTTGAATCGTATCTTCCAAATCGATATTGAAATCGATTCTGCTCTACGAAATCGAAATCACTCTGAGATTGGATCACCGAACTTCGATATCGAAATCACTTTAAGGGTTTAGAGAGAGCGAGAGAGCGAGCGAGCGAGATTCATACACTGGTGTTTCTCAGATTTGAGCGAGTGAAAGTGAGAAGAAGGGTTTCTCAGATTACGATGAGGGTTTGAAGAGGGAGAGAGAGCGCGTGAGAGTGGGATACATTCGAAGGCGTTTCCAAACGGGTTAAACGGTACCGTTTTATTTAATTAAAATGTGAGATACATTCGAAGGCGTTTTTAAAGAGGGTAAACGGTACTTTTTTATTAAATTAAATTGCGACGTTTATAAAACGTCGTTAAATATTAAAAAATGTGGCGTTTAAAAAAACGCCGTTAAAAAAATGCCATTATATCACATATTTCCTGTAGTGAATATAATTATTCACATGTCTTACATAATATCCGAATTAAACAAATAAATAAATAAAATCTCCTCAAACCAATTTTTGAGCGTTCTATTCTTTCAAACTAATTTTTCTAATTTTTTGATTTAAAAAATTGAAAAAAAAAATCTAATTGGTTAGTCTATCAAAAAATAAATTTTAAAATTCAAAATTATGAAAACTATCCCATAATTTTTGGGTTTTAAAAGGAAATAATCACTCAAATATAGAATAGGAAAACATAAAATTATGCCTTTTCATTTTTTTCTTTTTTTGAAGTAAATATTTTTAAAATTGGAAATTATATAAGACTAAAGTTATATTTGAAATTTCTTTTAAAATTTGTTAACTTTCAAATTAGATGGCTAAATTTTATTTTTGATATTTTATTTTAAGATTTTTAATTTTCAAAATTATAGATATTGTTAGATGGACTAATATTTCTATGCCATGAATATATACTAAAATTTAAAAATTAAAAATTTAGATTAATGTTTTAGAGCTAATAGAGAATTTTAGATGAAAAATCCTTATCAATGTGTTTGGTTTCACTTTTCTGAATTCAGTTTTTTGAAAATCGAGTTTTTTTATTTTTTGTATTTTTTTTTATTTTTAGTGAATATTTTTAAAATTTTGAAGCATTTTTTTTATACTTTTTTAGATGCACCTTACTTAGATATATCTAAAAAGTAAAATATTTGTGAAAAAATATTTTAAAAAATTAATAAATACACAAAATATGAAAAATATACTGAGTTTTCGTATTTTTTTTTGTATTTTTAGTATTTAGTGAATTTTTTTAAAGATTTTTTTCACAAAAAATATAGTTTTTAAGTGTATTTATGTTAAATGTGTCTAAAAATTAAACAATTGCTTAAAATATTTAAAAAAATCAGTAAAAACCAAAAAAAAAAATGAAAAACAAGAAAGTAGAATTTTCTAAAAAATTAGAAACAAACATGGTGTATAGTTTTCTTTGCCACAACAATGCAATGTTATAAGAATTAGTTCAAATCAGTAATAGCATTATATACAAACCAAAAAAAGTCAACAATAAAAAAAAGATTAATTTAAATTTAATTTCTAATCTGTACGGGGGCGAAATATCCTCTGCTTTCCGTACTCCTTGTACTCCAAGCTTCTCTTGACGGCGTCTACCTGGCCACATAGAAACGGTGAGCTGTCTGGTGGTGGTGTGCCGGATAGACCCTCCGACGATCAAGTAAGTCCACTTGAGGAGGAAGAAGACTGTTAGAGAGAGAGTATTCTCTTTGGGGAAGAAGTTGCATACCTCTAACGTTCGTCCTCCTCCATATTTCAAGGCTGGCCATGCAGCCTCAAGATTATGTGCGCACTACCTCTGCTGTCCTTTCCAGGACAGGTGGCAGTGCTCGCCTCTTACCACCTTACGCTTGTAAAGGCTTAGTCCTCCTACCAGTACACGTAGAACTGTCCAACGGTATTGGCGCATGCTTGGAGCAGATTTCCTCTATCCCTCACGCCATTGGCCCAGGTGGCACACTTGACCAGAATACCACGACCGGCCTATCACTTGTGGAGAGTTGCCATCACATGCACACAACCGAGCTATGCATCGCCGGACTGTCCCTTGCGAAGGGGCCAAAGGGCGATACTCATGGCCAAGCTGATATTGACCGGTTCATTAGGCTAATCGGTTGTGAGGTATGCCGGCCTCCACCCGTCCTACCTTTATTCTCGGTCACACGAAGCCCACTTATCTCGGTTGGTCGGTCAGAAGCGTGCCGGCCCTAACCGCGTCCATAGTCTAGCCCGGGTTGCTCTTAGCTTGGTCATCAGACACTGCTGCGCGCTCAGCCAGGCATTGGTTCGTGTCTGGCCGGTCGACCTTTCCGACCGTGCAAGTCAGGCCGCTGGGCCGAGCAAGAGAGGAGTCTGCTCGGTGGCGTGCGGTTCGTTATGATCGGCGTTATCGTAGCTCGGCCGTCCTAACGCGCAAATCTCCCCTCTTAATTGCCTCTTAACCCCATCCGACCTAGTCGTGATTGGGGTTACCATCGTGACCGAGCTAACGGATGAGTTGCGCCATCACCAAGCCGAGCATGATTGAGGGCATATCTATCGTCGAGCTGTCTCGTTTGGTCGGCCATTTCCTCCGCAGTCTCATCAAAGGTCGTACAGCCGTACTGACAGCCGCGTTTCCAGTGCCACGTGGCTTCACGCCACTGGGTCGTGCAGCCAGCTGTTCTGCACGCGCAGAATTCGAACGGCGCAGCCGTTTGGGGTTCTTTCCTCCCTCTTTTGTATTCCAACGAAGGGCCTACAACCCTTCACTTTTCACATTCTCTTCCACACAAACCCTGAACCTCTCAAACCTTCGAACCCCCAAGACCACTGCCATTACTGTCTCTGTGCTACATCCTCTATTTCAGATCCTTTCGAAGGCCGCAATCGAGCTCTCGAGGTTGCGTTCACCCTCGCATCTGTCCCCCTGGTAAGTTACACTACCCTCCATTGCATTTTCTGTTTCTATTTCTCAAAATTTTTTATACATGTTCTTCATGTTTTTTTTTTGTTTGTGACCACCAGTGCCCGCTTTCTTTGCTTAGAACCTGCACACCCTAGGGCAAATGAGAACTTTGAGAATGGAAGGGGCCTCTGAGCCCCCTGTTCCTCCTTGGTCCAAATGAGTTCGCCCCACTTCTGGGATGAACAGTTTAAATCTGGGTAGAACCGAGCTAAACGCTCATTTAGATCCATAGGTAGAGCTATAGCCGAGCAAAAACTGGTTTATGGCTTCTTACCGAGGTTGCAACAGAGTTGAATACTCTAATTAGATTGGTAAATAGGAACGCACCGAGCTGTAACTTGAGGTCTCCACTTCAAAGCCTAACTGAGCTGAATACTCCATTAGATCTGCAAATAGAAATAAACCGAGCTAGGAAATCGACCAAGTAGTCTAGCCATGATAGGGGTCAGGCCGGTAAAACACCAAAAATCCTTCACCGAGCTATTCTCAATAGGAGCCGTGGAATTTATGCCGCGCTAACCCTTGGCCTCATTTTTTAACAATGCAGAACAAACTAGGACCGATCAGTTCAGTCAAGAACCATCACTGGTGGAGCTCAAAGACCGAGCAATTACACCAAACATTTTTGTCCGAGGTACAAGTTAGTTCACCAAATAAAACCGAGATAGATGGGCAAGTACCGATTCATGGTGAGCTCTCCCGGTGCGATGGCCGAGTTTCGTAAGGAGTACAACATCCCAGATGACGTCGTCTTAGAGCTCGCCAAAAAGGGAGACACCCCTTAGGGGGATCTAGACCGGTGCCCCTTCACCGTCGTATCAATAGTAGAGGGAGGGCTCCGCTTCCCAGTTCAACCATTGATCTGTGAATTCTTGAGGCAGACAAGGCTTTGCCCGACCCAAGTTTCAAATAACACTTACAAAACAATAAACGGGGTCGCCGAGCTGAACCGGAGGCTCGGTCTCAATCTCGGTCTGGCCGAAATTTTCCATCAGTATAGTCTAAGTAGAAATAAGAGTGGGCTTTGCTGGTACCTCAAAGTCAAGAAGGGCTGAGCAAAGCTAATAGAGGGCAACCTGGACAAGGAGACCAACGATGACGACTTCTTGTGGGTGTCCGGTCGCTATGAGGACACCGAGGCACCCATACCGGGATGGTATATTAGAAAGGATTTTGGCAGTGTCGGTGAGTCGCTCGGCTGACCGCACTATTTTCTTTATGCATCAATTACTTTCCATGCCGATCTAACACTTGTCTTCTTTTTGCAGATAAGCACCTAGCAGCAGACTACTACCAGGCCAACCAAGAGGCCATCAGAGCCCTGCTGTGCCATCCTGCCGAGGAGAGGGAGGCTGCGAAACTGCTCGGCTTCGAACAGACCTACCATTACACCGCGCCGCGCAAGAGCCGGGTTACCGATTTTCTGCGTGCGCCAACCCCAGAACCGAATCCGAACCTACCACCGATCAGGCTTATTCCACTCACCGCCGAGCAAGAAATGGCGAAAATCAGGGCCATCAAGTCCATGATCACCGGGAAGAAGACGAGTCCCAAAAACTAGAGGCAACCGGGGGGACATCCTCCACACTCGCCGGGCAACAAGAAGGGGCAGTACTGGCGCTTGCCAGCGAGCAACTGGCTGGTCGGTCTAAGAAGTGGCCAAGGAACGAGCAAACCAGGCCGTGTCTGGCGGATGAAGACTCTACCGATCGCGTCTCCACCGAGCTCGGGGACCAGACCGAGCAACCACAGACCGGCAAATCCAAGGGCCCATCCACCCCCCCGGTCTGGGCGCCCGAGTTCAAACACCAGGGCCGAGCAGTTTCTGTTGAAGACTCTGTCTACGCAGACAAGGACTACTCGCTTGGTTTCAATTTGACCAAGGGGTTGATCTTGCCCGCTGATATGAAAAAAAATGACGAGCTTTCCGACCTCAAGGTCCTCCGCTCGGCGGCGAAATCCATAGTGCTGGTAAGTTCTCTATTCTTTGCGTCAACTGTTTGCTCGGTTTTTGCTCGGTTTCTCGAATACTCACGATCTCTCGCTTGTTTTCAGGCCGCGCAAAAGAACTATTTGGCCCACGACCGAATGATCAAACTGCGGCAGAGCCTGCGGGACGCAATAGTTGAGAATAAGGCCCAAAAGGCCGAGATAGCGAAGCTTAAGGCCGCGCAAGAAGCGGTTGAGGCCGAACGAGATAACCTAAGCCAAAAGGTCGACCGAGCTGAAGTGGACAAATAGCGGGCCGTGAAG